TGCAGTCCGTAGTATATTTGTACTAACTCAACATGAATTTCAGGCTGGCAACATAAACAAACCCATGAGACAGTAGTATACACGCTTGTCTCATATGCGCAAAGAACAAGGCAACTTTAGTAGGAAAAACTAACAAATAAAATAGAACATGAAAGAGGTAGTAGGGATGAAGAGACTAAATGATGTGGGAAAATAATGATGATTGTGAACATAGCGGCGGAAATAATAATATAACTAACGATAACAAAAGACAATAGGTATTTTAACTATTATGACGATAATAATAATAAAGATATAAATCATAGGAATTGCAATAATAAGTGGCCAAAATAATAACTTCAATAATAATAATAATGATAAATGATCAGTTTATCTAATAATATCAATCATATAATTAATGCCTAAGGTTCCTGAAAAAAATCTATTTGATAACGTTCATGGTATCAAAATTATAGAAATATTGATGATGATAATAAACCAAATAATCATTATTGCATACTGATGATAATATCAATGAAAACCCAAAGAAATTATGACAATAGTAACACTGTTAATGATAAAAGATGTAATAACAGCAGGAAGAAAATCAAATAGGCAAAAAATATATGCAGTTAACTAAATGACATCAACAGCGAAAGATTTCATTACTCAAGCCAAAAAGAAAAGAAAAAAAATAAGAGTAAGCAACTGCGCTTTGGAAGAATCAGTTATGACGTCACAAGCTGTCTATGTACACTATATACATCAGGCAAATTTTTTTACGGGAGACAGAGCGACTTTTTTTTTCCAACTAGCTCATGCTTAAGGAAATAAATGGATGTGTAATAGCTCCCTAAAATAAGGCAGTCGTTGCAATATGGCACGGAAGAAAGAAAAACAAATAAAAAGAAATAAAAAAAAAGGAACGTGGTTTTCCTGTTTCTAACTAGAAAAAAGAAAATGCGCAAAAAAAGGAATAATGATAAAGAGAGAGAGAGAGAGAAACAAAGAAATAAAAAAAGTATCTATTTCAGAAATTCACTTGGAAGGACATGATGATGAAATGAAAAGGAGGATGAAATTATCGACGGGAAGCGGTACAGAAGAAGATGAATTACTCGAAGAAAAGCAGCACAGAATTGGGTTGTTTAGAAGCGCACGCCGGTCTGGGCCTGAGCCTCGACGAAGGGCCTGGAGGTCACGATGACGATGTTGGTCTGCTCCTCGACGGTGTTGGCCTGCGGGAGACGGAAGAACGGTAAATATAGGATAAGAGAGAGAGAGAGAGAGAGAGAGAGAGAGAGGAGAGGAGAGGAGAGGGAGAGGAGAGGAGAGAGAGAGAGAGAGAGGGAGGGAGAGAGAGAGAGAGAGGAGAGAGAGAGAGAGAGGGAGAAGGAGAGAGAGAGAGAGAGAGAGAGAGAGAGAGAGAGAGAGAGAGAGGAGAGAGAGAGAGAGAGAGAGAGAGAGGAGAGAGAGAGAGAGAGAGAGAGAGAGAGAGAGGGTGAGGGAGAGGGGGAGGGAGAGGGAGAGGGAAAGGGAGAGAGAGAGAGAGAGAGAGAGAGAGAGAGAGAGAGAGAGAGAGAGAGAGAGAGAGAGAGAGAGAGAGAGAGAGAGAGAGAGAGAGAGAGAGAAAGAGAAAGAGAAAGAGAAAGAAAGAGAGAGAGAAAGAGAAAGAGATGAGGGATTGAAGAAAAAAGAGAAGTAAGGAAGGCAGGATGGCAATGAAAAAGAAAGAGTACATTTTGAACCATAACAAATCCCTAACTAATATCACATATAAAAAAGAAGAAGAAGACGGAAGCTACGCCCACCCACATTCCCCCGCACTCCCTCCCTTCCCCCCCCTCACCTGGTAGCCATTGATGGGGTCGGCGCTGTAGGTGGTGATGTAGCGGACGCCGTTGGGGGCGACGTAGGAGAAGCTGCCTCGCACAACGCCGTTCTCGTCCTGGGTCTCGCTGCGGGTGTGGTAGTTGGTCGTCTCGTCGTCGGCGATGTTCAGGCTGAAGGCGTAGGGATCGGGGGTGTCCTGCGGGGGGAAGGGGGAGGGGGGGAAGGAGTTTTAGTAATGTGCGTTATGAAGGGGATAGTGAAGAGGGGGATGGGATAGTGATAATGATGATGATGATGTTTTTTTTTTGGGGAGTAATGATATTGGTGATGTGATGAGGGAGGAGTTTGTTATGGTAATAATGCTTTGCCTGACACTAAAGATGAAGGTATATATGTATGCTTTTACTACTAAGTCAAGGATTAAATCAAACAGACGCAACGAAAATAGAAATCACTGAATAAATTATAAGAACAAAGATAACCATAGTAAAGACAAAAAAAAAATAAATAATAACACGTGGGCATAACTTACCAGAGGCTCCTCAATGAGCTCCACCCTCTGCTGCAGCTGAGGGGCGCACATGGCCACGCCCACGAGACATACGAGAATGACGGCCTGAGGGGAAGAGGGAAGCATCTTAGGAGGGCTCGGACGCAGGACGATTAGCGACGGACAGATGAATGAGAG